ATCTCATCTTTTTTCCTGTACCGTCCTGTTCCGTCCTTAACGCAGGACTGTGGGTTTTGGCACCATTTTTTCTGTTGCGTTTGTTTGTTACTCCAAAGATCAAAGTGGCAAGCTGATCAAGAAGTGGTAGTACACGTGGTAGTACAGAAGCCCAAGGGTCAGAGTGGAAGGTGACCTTTTCGCCTTAAATCTGCATTTCTTAACTTCTGAATATTTGATGATGATAATAATACAAATATATAGGTGCTCTTACACAGCACTTTTTTCATCTCTTGATCTCAAAGTGCTTTACAAAGGATGATCATTACCCCATCTTACAGATGGGAAAACTGAGGCACAGCAGTGAGGTGACTTCCCAAGATCACTCAGCAGACCAGTAACAGAATTCAAGTCTCCTGGGTCCTAGTCTAATAGAATCCAATTAACAGATGAACAAAACTAGATTAAAGGAAGATCACTATGAGCTGTAACTTCCTCTGTGAACTTCAAATTATGAAAAGCTTTTGCTTGTGTAGGCACACTGAGAACATAAACTCATTTCCCCCAACCCTTACAGGACAAATTAAGGCACGTGTAAGTAAATATCTTGCAATTAACTTTGCAGCTGAGTTTGCATTTAACTAGATTTTATAATCTGTACTTAGATTTCCAGAAAGCCTTTGACAAAGTCCCTCAACAAAGGCTCTTGTGTAAATTAAGTTGTCATGGGATAAGAGGGAAGATCCTCTCATGGATTGAGAACTGATTAAAAGACAGGGAACAAAGGTTAGGAATAAATGGTAAACGTTCAGAATGGAGAGGGGTAACTAGTGGTGTTCCCCAAGGGTCAGTCCTAGGACCAATCCTATCCAACCTATTCATAAATGATCTGGAGAAAGGGGTAAACAGTGAGGTGGCAAAGTTTGCAGATGATACTAAACTGCTCAAGATAGTTAAGACCAAAGCAGACTGTGAAGAACTTCAAAAAGATCTCACAAAACTAAGTGATTGGGCAACAAAATGGCAAATGAAATTTAATGTGGATAAATGTAAAATAATGCACACTGGAAAAAATAAACCCAACTATACATACAATATGATGGGGGATAATTTAGCTACAACTAATCTGGAAAAAGATCTTGGAGTCATCGTGAATACTTCTCTGAAGACGTCCACGTAGTGGGCAGCAGCAGTCAAAAACTCAAACAGGATGTTAGGAATCATTAAAAAAGGGATAGAGAATAAAACAGAAAATATCTTATTGACCTTATATAAATCCATGGTATGCCCAAATCTTGAATACTGCATACAGATGTGGTCTCCTCATCTCAAAAAAGATATACTGGCATTAGAAAAGGTTCAGAGAAGGGCAACTAAAATGATTAGAAGTTTGGAACGGGTCCCATATGAAGAGAGATTAAAGAGTCTAGGACTTTTCAGCTTGGAAAAGAGGAGACTGGGGGGATATGGTAGAGGTATATAAAATCATGAGTGGTGTGATGCAAGTAAATAAGGAAAAGTTATTTACTTGTTCCCATAATATAAGAATTAGAGGCCACCAAATGAAATTAATGGGCATCAGGTTTAAAACAAATAAAAGGAAGTTCTTCTTCACAGAGCGCACAGTCAACCTGTGGAACTCCTTGCCTGAGGAGGTTGTGAAGGCTAGGACTATAAAAGGGTTTAAAAGGTATACTACACTGTTATGAAGACAGGAAATGTTAGATGGTTCTTTTCATAGCTTAGATGGATGTTGCCTCTGACAATTGCAGGGGCCAGGAGGTTATGTATTAGCAAAGTCATAAAAGTATAGTTGTCATAACAACCAGGGACCGAGCTCACTAAGTAAAGAAGCCGGAGTAGATAATCTAATGAATTTTCCCTGATGCTTCAAGCCTTTAAGAAGGATTTGATCAAAAGTCAAGTAAAAATGAGTCAACACAACAGAAGAGCCAGGGAACGGATTTTCTGATGTGGGAGGCATGGGATAAAAGTAAAATATGGTGAGAATTGAAGGCTGAATTCTGAAGATGTTACTCAGACAAATCTCCTGTTGATGTCAGAGCTCAGTGAAGTTCTTTAGATTAGAGAGAGAAAGAGAGAAATTTGAGAAGAGTTTGACTGAAGTCACTTTTTTATGAAAGAACAGAAGAGAAGGAAAAGTACCAACCAGGGCCGGCTACAAGGGCAAGAGGTACCATAAATGGCTCGGTCCTTCATCCGCTCAAACCAATGATAGTTTTGTCCATAGGAATGGGCCTCAAATGTAATACTCATTGATTCCAAGGCCAGAAGGGACCACTCTGATCATCTAGTCTGGCCTCTGGGATAACACAAGCCACAGAAATTCTCTAAAATAGTTCCTAAAGCATATCTTCCAAATAAAATTCCAATATTGATTTTAAAATTGTTAGTGATGGAGAATCCAGCATGACCCTTGGTAAATTCTTCCAGTGATCAATTACTCTCACTGCTTAAACTTTACTCCTTATTTCCAGTCTGAATTTGTCTAGCTTTAGCTTTCAGCCATTGGATTGTGTTATGCCTTTCTCTGCTAAATTGAAAAGTCCACTATTAAATATTTGTTCCCCATGTATATACTTATAAACTGTATCAAGTTATGCCTTAACCTTGTCTTTGTTAAGCTAAATAGATTTAGAAAACATGCTTTATAGTGACAGAATCAAAGATCTCATCCTTTAATCATTCTTGTGGCTCTTCTCTGAATCCTTTCCAATTTATCCATACCCATCTTGAATTGTGGGCACCAGAACTGGACACAATATTCCAGCAGCAATTGCACCACTGCCAAATATGTTCCTCTATGTTCCTACTTGAGATTCTCCTCTTAATGTCATCCTGAGATGCCTAATCTTTTTTGCCCACAGCTTCACACTGTGAGCTTATATTCAGATGATTATTCACCGTGACCCCCAAATCTTTTTTAGAGTCATTGCTTCCCAGGATAGAGTCCCCCATTCTATAAATATGATCTATATTCTTTGTTCTTTGATGTATACATTTTCTCATATTGAAACATATTTTGTTTGCTTGGTAAACTAGTGCAAGCAATCTAGATCACTCTGAATTAGTGACCTGTTCTCTTCAGTATTTACCACTCCCCCCAGTTTTTGGATCATCTGCAAACTTTGAGTCATTTTTTTAATATTTTCATTCAGGTCCTTGATAAAAAATGTTAAATAGCATAGGATCAAGAACCAACCCCTGATGTACGCCACTGGAAACACGTCCACTCAGTGATGATTCCCCATTTGCAGTTACATTTTGAGACCTATCCGCTAGCCAATTTTTAATCCATATTTATTGTGTGCAACTGTCACCCATGCTTCTGTTGCTGGTCCTTTTAAACTGTAGTTTTCCTCCTGCCAGAAGAGTGGAGCAGCTATCCACTGACTCTAGCTGGTCTTGGACTAGCTGGTAAACAAAGGAAGAAGTTCACGAACCCTTGGGCAGTAGGACATCTCCAAGAGTGGTGGCCCGTTCCACTCCCAAGTATAAAGAAAAAAAGAGGCACCAAACTCTTCAGTTAGTTCAGCCAGACCCAGAGTGAGACAGCCAGACCAGAGGGGAGGTGGAGATCTCTGCCCTGAAAGCTGAGAAAAGTTTTTACTAATTGCAGCAAGAAGATAGCCTTCTCCTTATGGCTACGAGCCCATTTAAAAAACTGGGCACTTGCTACTTGTACAGCTCAGCACAATGTAATGACATTAATGCCAAGTCAGTAGTGTATGTTTTAAAGGCACAGGATTTGTTGCCTGTGTACTATTTGGTACAGAAGAATCTGTATGTTTGAGACTGAGTCTCAGTTAATCCTCAAATTATCGTTTTATAAACCTAAAGTTTTTGTCTGTTTTAAGTTGAGCAGCTTTACTACATTGTGGCATCTTTCTTCCAGACTGGAGCAAACTCAGGATATGGGCATCCCCAACTGCCCAAATTTGTATATTTATCTTGTGCATTATTCACAGGTGGGAGTTCTGCTGTCAAAACAAAGCTCACGATTCCTGCAGTAAAATGGAATTATAGTGGGTATTTGTGTGATCAAAGTTGAGGCTCTGAACCTGTATCTGGGAATCTGTCAGTCGTAGATTTGGTCTTGCATTAAATTTGTACTAAGATGGTAGTTACATAGGCCCAGATTCACAAAGGTATTTAGTCACCCAACTGTGATGCTTCCTGGGGATACCCTGCATTGTGAAGCACCTTGCTATGACCTGCCCTTAGCATGAGAAAGCCTGGTCTGTGCCTGCCCCGGGTGAGCTCCCCAACTCCACTGACCACAGGCAACACAAGCACTGCCCTCAAGGCCTACGTAGGCTCCGCTGTCCCTCTGCAGGTTAGCAATAAGAACACTCCAACCCCTGAACGTTGTTGTATTGATCTTAAGGACCAAAAGAGTTAATGCTGGACAGTGCAAGGGTTAATGAACACCTGTAAAAGAGTGACACTTAACTTGGGGGGGGTAGGGGTGCCTACAGAGGCCTTGGTTTTACTTGGTTCCAAAAGCATTCATTCTAAAGCTGCAAGTCTATTGATCAAAACACAAGAACGAACAAGCAATTTAAACATGCACTTATATTGAAACTGTAATTGAGTGATTATCAACCAAACAAACAACCAAAACCCTGAGAGGCTCTCTCCTTTTGGAAGCAAAATATCAGAGTCTTGTCTTATTTTCAGAACAACCTTTTAAAAAAAATCTGAAAGGAAAGGGTTAATTTTACTCTCAGTCCTGCTGTGGAAAAGGTATTCACTTCTCCTGTTTCTAACAACCAGACAATCACAAGGTAGAGAAGAGATAGGACAGAAAAGGTGGAAGAAATACAGCTTTTGTTGATGTAATTAGAACAGTGGATGGCTGGACAGTCACAAATGGATGCTTTGACTGGCAGGTCAACCAGGACACCTGTTGTTTGGACCCTGGTTCACTTTCCAGTCAAGGATGTTACCTGGTTGGGTCTTTTCTCCATAGAAAGGGCAGGATTGTCATCTTATCTTACCGTGCTGATGCATGCAGTTGATCATGGCCGGATTAATGCAGACGCTTTAGGGGCTGCAGCCCAGGGCCTCAGGCTAAGGGGGGGTCCTGCAAAAATAAATCCATAATTATATACAATTCAGTGGTGACCAACCAGTCAATCACGATCGACTGGTCGATCCTGGAGCCTCTGCCAGTCGATCGCAATCTCCAGGCTGCTAAAAGTCCAGTGGCACAGCAGGACTCAGGCAGGCTATCTGCATGCCGTGGCCCCACGCCACTCCTGGAAGTGGCCAGCTGCTGGCACGTCTCTGTGGCCCCTGGCCGGGGGAAGGAGGAGGCTCTGCATGCTGTCCCCTCCCCCAGCACCATCCCCACAATTCCCATTGGCTGGGAACTGGCCAATGGGAGCTGCGGGGACGGCGCTTGTGGGCAGTGAACGGAGACACACTGTCCTCCTCCCGCCTGGGGCATGCAGAGATGTGCCAGCCGCCGGCCACTTCCAGGAGCGGTGTGGGGCCATGACATGCAGTCAAGCAGCCTGCCTGAGCCATGCTGAACTGCTGCCTGGGAGCCTCCTGTGGTAAGCGCCTCCTGGCCAGAGCCTGCACCTCTCATCCCCTTATGCACCCCAACCCCCTGCCCCAGATCAGAATCCCCCTCCTTCACCAAACTCCCTCCCAGAGCCTGCACCCCTCACCCTCTCCTGCACCCCAACACTCTGTCCCAGCCTAGAGTCCCCACCTGCACCCAAACTCCCTCCCAGAAAGAAACCAATATTACAGTTGTTCTAAGGTAAGAAGTAGGCTATTTTGAATTAACTTAACTATATTCTACATGTTTTAAGACTGAAATGTAACCACAGGATGGCTTTATGTTAATTAAAAAGCAAGTTTAGTAATAGTGTTAATAGCTTCAGTGCCATAATTGTGATCATTTTGTTTTAAATTAGGAAAAGGACTTGTATACAGGAACTCCACAAAATCTAATAGCCCCGGGCCCAAAGGAGAGTTAATACAGCCCTGCAGTTGATAACAGGATTTGATGAAAAGGTAAGACAGACAGAGACAGAGAGACACAGAGAGAGAGAGTGAGAGAGAGAGAGAGAGAGTGTGTGTGTGTAGGAATAAGGTCTTTTAGTTTGGTCTACTCCTTCTACCTTGGGGTCAGGGAATATGAGATGAGACAACACAAGACAGGATGCAAGATGAGATTTTTTTTTGTCTTTTTAAGAAACCCCAAAAGGGAAAAAAGTGAGCAGCATAGTTCATCCCCTCATTATTCTATTCACCAGTTAGGCCTAATATCTGGCACACCAATTTTGATCCATTAATTTCTGGACCCAAATCTTCATGTTTATTGAGTGAAACCTCACAGTCTTTGAATCCTGTCAGTAGGCCCTTTTTGTTTGAACTAATCCAATTTATCTGTCTGTTTCATAACATTCATTTATTGAAAACTTGACCTTTTCCCCACCATTAATTTCCAAGCAGGCAAAAATTTATAAGCTATTCTGACAACTTATGAACTTGCACAGACTTTTTACATTTGAACTTACGGTAAATTTTTAGGTCTAATAATCACAATAGTCCTCTGAGTGTCTACCTGGAGTATCTATTCCCTGGTCCACTGGACAATCAGTATTCACAGACCCAGTTCTTCCAAAGAAACAGTACCCTCCAGCTTACGAGTTCCACCTCAGATCACTGCTCTGCTTAATGAGCAGCACTTAAGATTTGTTTACAGTGAAATCAAAAATAGGGTTATTTAACAAAGCATAGCCATTCAAAGTAATAACAAGTCGGAGTACTGGAAACAAATGGTTACATATAAAATTAAATCATGACGACATGTGCTATTGCCTAGACTTAATTGACAATATAGTATTGCTCACCCACGCTTTACAGCCAGGCAGGCTGTGACCTCTCTTTCATAAGACAAATCACACTATCAGTTTGCCTCCTTGGTGAAGGATAAAAATCTTGTCCCCACTCCTCTTTTTTTTTTAAATGAAGTTACAGATTATTGTCTCTTATCCCAGGAGGTTCCCTCTTCAGAGACTAATTTTGGGGTTCCTATGCCTTTGCAACTTATCAGGCCTGCCCTTGACCCAGACAGCATAGCCTGTCTCCCTGGAGGTCCATTGTTCTTTACACTGATATGCCTTGACTCAGGGAACAAGCTTTACTTCAACAGTTTTGAAATGTAGAATTTTACATCTCTCTTAATTAATGCTTGTATGGGAAATAGTTTATGATGATCACTGGCTACTGACCCACTCTTTGGTGAGAGATTATGCAATATATATGACCCAGGGATCCCAGTAAATATTTATGTCCCCAGTGCCCTCTGCCAGTTAAAACCAAAAGGCCCCTAGGTCACACCAACTTCCATTAAAGTCAGTACCTTTGCGGATCTGGGTCACAGACCTGTGAAATCAGTGAAACGACTTCATTGGATGAGGGATTTTAGAGCTATCCCTCTTCCCCCCCTCCCCTGCCCCTTGACTTCATTTTTAAAAGTTCAACAGACCTGCCGCCTTCCATGTTAGAAGGTCTTATCCTGCTTCAACTGAAATCAATGAGAATTTTGCCATGGGTCTCCATGTGAGTATAGTCGGGATCAGGATTTCCATCAGTTCAATATCTGATCTTCATGAGAATTAGCAAAGAAAACAACTATTTGCACCCTTGTTCAATAATGAGAAGCACACACCTTATTAAAATGTCCCCATTTATAAAATTAAAATGTAATAAATATCTTGATTGCTGTAGTTTGATTATTTTTATAAATTAATATCCTCTATCTTTGGCATTCTGATTTATCATAGGCAGAGCTAAGTGATGCCTATAGATTGCCCAGCACCTTTTTGTTGTTATAAGCCTGTTTCCAGTGGCTTATAACTTTTTCAAATTATATTTGTTCAGTCTAAAATTGCTCTCTGCTTGAAGCGGAATTTTGAAGGGGTTTGTTTTGCTTCCATAAACTGCTTCATTTCAATAACTTTCTGTGATTGCACTGGCAACAGACAGTATACAGTGACTCAGGATAAAATTGCACAGATGACACACCACATCTGTTAAAGGAACTCCAAGTCCATCAGAGTAATATGGTGTCTCTTTCGCTGACATAAAATCACCCACTTATTGCAACACCACTGTCCTTCCGTCTATTAAATCGCCCCTCCACTGCCACCCCACCACTTAGTACAACACAAAGGCATTTTTCATTCTGAATTATTTTGCTTCTGAAATTTCACCTACAGCTTAAAACACAAGACCTTCCTCAGTCATGCGTTCTATCACCTCTTTTCATACAGCGCATATGACTCATTCTTACAGAACATATGAAAGCAAATGCCAAGTATTGTGACAGGAAAAAAAATGTTACGGTTGATTCTGTTCTGTACAGGTATCTGGTATGTCAACTTGCATGTTTCCTTTGGAGAAGAATATAAATCACAAAGCCTTGGAAACAAGCAGGGAGAACTGGAGGTCCTGGTGATGTCAAGGAATTATGACGTGATTGGAATAACAGAGACTTGGTGGGATAACTCACATGACTGGAGTACTGTCATGGATGGTTATAAACTGTTCAGGAAGGACAGGCAGGGCAGAAAAGGTGGGGGAGTAGCACTGTATGTAAGGGAGCAGTATGACTGCTCAGAGCTCCGGTACGAAACTGCAGAAAAACCTGAGTGTCTCTGGATTAAGTTTAGAAGTGGGAGCAACAAGAGTGATGTAGTGGTGGGAGTCTGCTATAGACCACCGCACCAGGGGGATGAGGTAGATGAGGCTTTCTTCCGGCAACTCGCAGAAGCTACTAGATCGCACGCCCTGGTTCTCATGGGTGACTTTAATTTTCCTGATATCTGCTGGGAGAGCAATACAGCGGTGCATAGACAATCCAGGAAGTTTTTGGAAAGCGTAGGGGACAATTTCCTGGTGCAAGTGCTAGACGAGCCAACTAGGGGGGAGCTTTTCTTGACCTGCTGCTCACAAACAGGGAAGAATTAGTGGGGCAAGCAAAAGTGGATGGGAATCTGGGAGGCAGTGACCATGAGTTGGTTGAGTTCAGGATCCTGACACAGGGAAGAAAGGTAAGCAGCAGGATATGGACCATGGACTTCAGGAAAGCAGACTTCGACTCCCTCAGGGAACGGATGGGTAGGATCCCCTGGGGGACTAACATGAAGGGGAAAGGAGTCCAGGAGAGCTGGCTGTATTTCAAGGAATCCCTGTTGAGGTTACAGGGACAAACCATCCCAATGAGTCGAAAGAATAGTAAATATGGCAGGCGACCAGCTTGGCTTAACAGTGAAATCCTAGCGGACCTTAAACATAAAAAAGAAGCTTACAAGAAGTGGAAGGTTGGACATATGACCAGGGAAGAGTATAAAAATATTGCTCGGGCATGTAGGAATGAAATCAGGAGGGCCAAATTGCACCTGGAGCTGCAGCTAGCAAGAGATGGCAAGAGTAACAAGAAGGGTTTCTTCAGGTATGTTGGCAACAAGAAGAAAGCCAAGGAAAGTGTGGGCCCCTTACTGAATGAGGGAGGCAACCTAGTGACAGAGGATGTGGAAAAAGCTAATGTACTTTGGATGGGCTATTACCAGCAGGAGAGTGAGTTGGGGGGGGGGGGGGCGGAGGGTGAGAAAACCTGGATTTGTGCTGGAAATGGCCCACCTTGATTATCATGCACATTGTAGGGAGAATGGTCACTTTTGATAAGCTATTACCAGCAGGAGAGTGAGTTTGTGTGTGTGGTTTTTGGGGGGGGGTGAGGGAGTGAGAGAACCTGGATTTGTGCTGGAAATGACCCACCTTGATTATCATACACATTGTGAAGAGAGTGGTCACTTTGGATGGGCTATTACCAGCAGGAGAGTGAGTCTGTGTGTGGGGGGGCGGAGGGTGAGAAAACCTGGATTTGTGCTGGAAATGGCCCAACCTGATGATCACTTTAGATAAGCTATTACCAGCAGGACAGTGGGGTGGGAGGGCGTATTGTTTCATGGTCTCTGTGTGTATATAATGTCTTCTGCAGTTTCCACGGTATGCATCCGATGAAGTGAGCTGTAGCTCACGAAAGCTCATGCTCAAATAAAT